TCTCTCCCCTTTTTACCATGACCCAAAAGTGGCTTAAAGGTCAGAGTCATCCTATGCAGAGGTTACTGTCAATTTAAAAGCCATCAACCCACCTAAGTACTGAAAATCTCTGTTATAGTCTATTTAAAGTAGTGCTTTAAAAAGTCTTACTACATAAAGAGCAAACGTTAGAATACTATCTAGTGATTATGGTTTAATTAATTCGATAGGTTTCTTTTTAACACAAGAAAAGGATCTGACCTGTTAAACTTTGATAATATATAAGGGAGGATAGGAGAAAAGGTGATTAACTGGAAAAAAGCCTTGGAGTCTAAATAGGATGACAAGGTGTGTTCAAGATCTATAGGCAGCCAGGAATTTCAGGAGGGCAATTTACTTAACCTCTTTATGTTTCAGTTATCTTACCTATAAATAAAGATATTAGCACCACTGCATAAAGTAATCAGTGTAATGTACATGTCTGGTTTAAAAGAGCTGAAAAATGTTAGTTGAGCTATTACGGTCGAAGTTATTCTACTAGTAATAACAACGATGATTATGTTTTTCCTAGTAGTAATGATAATGACAGTATACTCCGCCTTAAGAAGAATTGTGTTGAATGGAACTATTTTGGTTCAGATATGAAATGTTCCCAAAAAGGCTCATAGTGTTGAAAGCTTGGTGGCGGATGGGCTTTGGAGTGTGATTGGATCACAGTGGTTCTAACTTCCTCAATGGATTAACCCACTGATGAGATCAAAATTTGGTGGCATTAAAAGGAGGTAACTGAAGACAAGGAGGGGGCTTAGTTAAGTGAGCAGATGATGGTAAATTCACCTTGGGGTTGAATCTTGACTCTGGTCCCTTCTTCTCAGGCTCTTTCAACCTCCCTCTGCTGTCCAACTGTCATAAGAGCAAATTTATCCACCCCACTCTTCCATCATGAACTATCTGTCTCATTACAGGCCTAGAAGCAGCAGAGTCAAGTAGGCACAGATGGAAACCTCTGAAACCATGAGGTTAAACTTTTCCTCTTTGAAGTTATTCATATCACAATCTCACAGAAGTAAAAAGCTAAATAAAACAATTTATCATGTGTTCCATAGTGGAATAGGATAAATCTTGAGTCTGCCCTGAACACCAAGGTAATTAAATGAGAGGGTAGAGAACTAAATGAGAAACAGAGGCAAGATCTCAATACTTATCTCTAAGTAACACTGTATGGTGTTAGTTAAAGGGAAACATCCTGGCAAAGTGATTTTAGAGTCAAACGCAAAAGATATGAACCTTGACTCTGTCACTGGATGATGTATAACTTTAACAAAGTTCTCAGAGTCTTAATATCCTTACTTGTGAACAGGAATAATCACAGCTATAAGAAGATTATTAAAATAACAAATATGTGGCAATGTAGCGAATACCCTTCAAATACATTCCCCGCCTTCACTGGCTTTATATAGGGTCAGCAGACTGCCAAAATGAGAAGTCCATCTGGGTAGGTGAGCAGCATCACTCAGCATGGTGAGCTCTTTGTTAAGAGAAGGAAGATGTCACCAGCTTCCTCACCTCTTCCTCCTCCTCTTGGAAGAGCTGAAGGATTGCACAGAAGGGTTGCTAAACAGTAGCACTTGCACCCACATTTAGTTATAGCATGTAGTGGAATCATTCTCTATTCATTGTACAAGGCTATCATGAAAGCTATCCAGTCTAAAACAGCACAAACAACAGGCTTTAATGGAAATTTAACTCAGAGCATTATCATTTTGTACCCTAACATAAATGAAATCTCAGTATATTTTTTTGCCAAAAATTGAAGACAAATTTTCAAAATGTTATAAATCTAATGGCTACAGATGTCTTTCCATCATCACTGCAAGACAGTTATTATTTGATTTGCATTATATAGAAGCTGTGTCATTCGTGATAGTCATAACAAGTTCAGGAGCCCTTCTTCATTGTAAATACTGCGCTGCTTGATGCAAATGTAATTACACAGAAAATCACAATCACAAAATCATATTATTTCCATTCTCAACATTATTGTTTCAATGTCTGTATTATATTTCTTTTTCTAAATTCAGAGAATGCATTTCCTTTCATGTGTTACCATGCCAGTCCCAAGACTTTGTCTTTTTTTAGGTGTTTTGAAGTAAAACTAATATGAATTTTGACATTTTAAGTATACTTTTAAAATATTCTGCTGACTTTTATAACTATTCTTGACACTAATATGCAGTTTTATGTCATTAGTTACTGAAATTTTTCTATAATTATGTAAATTATGTTGACATGTTCTGGTAGGATGCTTACACTCTACTATTTTGTCATTTGCAAAATTTTGAAATATACCAGATAATCATTTCCACTCACTTTCAAATTAAACTGCCATTAATGGATTCCAACCGTCTCATGCTTTCTTTGCCTGTAATATTGAGTTCGCTGTTGACCCAGGAGGCTTTTAAATACACATCCCTCCCCATCTCACAGACTTCATACTTTTGAAATTTTATTTTATTTTATTTATTTTTTGGTCCCAATGATGAGAAAATTAAGGTCATTGGCCTTTTGGAGCTCATGGTCAGAGAGAGGGAGACACCATTAGACACAGATCTACAAATTACTACAACAAAAAATAGGAGACAGGTTCTACAATCTGTAGAAATGAATGACTAATTCCCCAGAGAAGCCAAACAAAACCTTTCAAAGTAAGAGATTTGTAGTCTGAGTCTTGAGGTTTTTTTAGGAGTTGGTAAGGATTGGGAAGAAAAACCTTCTGGGCAGATCCATAGATAGCAGAATGGCCAGGAGAGATGAGGAGTTGAGGGTTCCTAAGATGCAGGACACAGAAACCCAAGCATTGGCCAACAGGGTTACAGAGCAGGGGGACACAGAAGATCCCTTGTAAAGGCCTTGAAAGGTACAGCAGGGCAGAAAAAACTCTGATAATGCTTCCTTTATTGTATTCAGAAAGTGACAGGCTCTAACTTCTCAGAAGATACCAACATGATATGGAGGACAAACAGATGCATATCTTTTCTTCTAGAAGTAGCCTAGGATGTAAATTCTTTCAAAGTCTCAGAAGGAAAAACAATCCCCTCTCGTCCAATTATGCTTAATTCAACCAGAAAAGCATTCAGTTGTTGCTGAGTGGCCCATGACATTATGAGAAAGATAAATACATTACACTAAGGAATTTTCAGAGCCATCTGAAAAAAAAAATTGTGATATATGTGGTAGATGCCACTGACCAGTCCAGAGCGCCAAGAAAAGCTGTGGGCCATCACACTTCTACAATGCTGATGCATGGTGACAAGGTCCTGCCAAACACTGCTATATCCATGAGCAGGGACATGACCCACTCTGCCTCTGCCACATCACTGCAAAGCAACCTGGCCCACCATCCTTTGTGAGGTTTTGCACTCACTGCCTCTTGGCCAGGCCCTCATGTTAACAGACTGTCTGCCATACCTCTGGAAACCCACGTATAGGAGAAAGGCCCATCCAACTGCTGCCACATCCATGTTTTAGGGTGAGCGTCGCCCATCTTACCCAGATCACATCAGAGTACTGAATTCCAAAAACACAGTCCTCAAGTACTCTACTGCCCGGGCTCCAGAAATAGCCACAAAGATGTGGTGCTGGAGGTGGTGGTTTTAATGGGATGAAAGAAGATGACTAACTCAAATTTCTGTAGGATGATGAAGAAAAATGTTTAGAGATGGATTAGTTAATAGATGGATGAACATAGGAATAAGTGTGTAATAAATAACAAGATACAGAAAGTGCAAACAAAAACTTAAAAATAAGGGAGAAGACAATATAAGAAACAGTTTTTAAAATAGGAAGAAAAAGCAAAAAGACAAATCAAAAAGAGATAACATAAAAAGATAATAAATTATATACATATATACATATATCACTACTTCAAGAAGCTACTTATCTCTCATATGCTTTTGAATATTCTCAAAACGTAAATATAGATCGATGGAAAAATCTATTTGAGCCCTTCAGACAGTATCTTCTCTTCTCTTTTTCAGTTTTTTGAAACCATTTGCCTAAGTGTTGGCATTTTATCTCGGGGAAACCTGATCCAGGTAATAAGGCATTACCTATGGGCCTAAAGGTATCTGTCTGTGTTTCATGACTTCACCCTGGAAATGGAGGTAAGGGGTCACATTTCGTAAAATTTAAAGAAGCTATGAGTAGGAGATTTGCTGCAAGTGAAAGTCTCCAACATTGTTTTCACTGCGAGCTTTTCCAGACACTCACAAAGCCAGCTCTGATCATTTGTCTTAGACCACCCTCCCAGTTACCATGTTGCAGGGACAGCTCTCCAGTGGAAACTAAGGTGCTCCGGACAAAGCTGGAGAGTCAGATGTGCTTGGAATGAGTTTCCTAAGTCCACATCCAGAAAAGATGGAAACCATTAGATTCTTCCTGCAACTGCACAGGCCCACAAGGAGGCCCGCAATTGGCACGGGGGCCAACCCATTCATCAGCAGCTCACAGGGGCAATCATTAGGCTAAATGGCACTTACTTCTCTTTAAGACACAATGTGAACAATCCTCCTGCTCAGCCCTAGGAACACAGGAGTGTGTAGAGGAACAAAGGAAGAGCCCACAACCAAACACCACTGGGAAGAAAATGAGGCCATAACGCTCCCATCCCCTCAGTGTGGGTACACAGGGGCGGCCCTCTAATAACACAGCAAAGAGCCAACCTGGAGCTGACAGGCCACCCAACTGCATCCAACAAGGGCTACCACGTACTCTGAAAGCTATGAACATACTAAGCCCCTTATTTGTAGCCCATGGTGTACTTTTATAAATTGGGAAGCAAACATGAAATAGTATTATTTCAGTAGGGAAAGTGATTTCTGTTCCCATGTCCTAATTGAAGAAAACACAAAAAAGCACTATTGAGTCTAAAAATTTAGAAAATTAACAGGTATGCAAGAACTTTAAATAGAGCTCAGACCAGGATGGAGGGAAAGATGGGAGGTTCCAAACGAGTTTCTTACCTTTTTGTCACTCAGGCCAGAAACCTGGTCCACATACTCTTCTTGGATCATGAAGGCAGCTAAGTTGGCAGTGTAGCTGGCCAGGAAAATGACAGCAAAGAAGGCCCACACCGACACCATGATCTTGGACGTGGTCCCCTTTGGGTTCTGCACAGGTACGGAGTTGTTAAACACCAGACCCCAGAGTAACCAAATAGCTTTGCCGATGGTGAAAGATGGGCCGCCTGGCTCTGGCATAACAAAAAGATGAGGACGGAAAGTTAAGCCAGGGTTACTGGTTCTAAGTCAACCTACAAGTGCCCAGAGCTGGAAAGTCCCTGCTCAGAGCAGGAAAATCTGAGCCTTTTTTATTGACAATTTTATAATGGGAGAATCTGTGTCTCTCCTATCTTGGGAGACTTAGGAAGACAGAAGAGAAATCCTTAAAGAAAATGAGAGTCTTGGAGGCTGTGTGTGAATCTTGTTGTCAAATATAAAATCAAAGTTACATAAAAGTTGACTAGCAAAGGCCAATTATTTCACTATGATCACCATTAGGACACTATCATCATTTCTCCAGACATTTATTTTGTATCTACAAAGGAATCATCTCAGTGTGCAACACATCAGCAAGAATTGTGTAAATCTTCTCTACCATTGTCAGAAACCTCTTGCAAGCCTATTTACACTGATGCTGGATGGCCCTGAATGTACTTTTTGCTAGTTTTTCCCTAGCCTTTAGCACTTAGCCCTCAGTGTTTCAGAGGCAGCCTAACTCTCTCCCTCCCCTGCCTCAAGGCCAACACTTCTCAACACTCTAGTAGTAGCTTTTTACATAAAGGAGGATGGGGAAGCCCAGTGATGACATCATGAACTCCTGGCCCAGGCACATGGGTCGGAGGGCCTGGTGTAGCAGTCTTGGCTTTGGCTTTCCTCCATCTGATCTTTACATAGTGTCAGGATTGTGACCTCACTGCTATCTTTTCTAGGTGAAGGTAAAATCTTGCCTGTTGCCCAGATCTCCAGAAGCCCCTCTACTGCAGAAATGAACATCTGCTTGCAGAATTTTACAACATATTAACACAGGTCTTGGGATGTTTGCTGTGATCCTGACAGCATCTGCTCAGCCAACAGAATCATCAGGGACTACACATGTTGAACTTGATCTCTAACTGCACACACACATCTGTGGATGTGGACCTTTTTTCATGCAACAGATGTGTAACTAAAAGATTGTTTATAAATCAAAGTTTGGTAAAATGCAAAATGTGCCAGAGGGAGTTGACATTTAAAGGGGTATCGTGTGGAATTCCTTTGTGAAGATAAGCATTCAACAATAATGGAACTACAGTGTTTGCTCTGGGTTTTGTAAATCTGGATTTTTCATCTTCTGGAATTTTTTTCCAGAGTAAGAGGATGCTGCACACTTAATTTCTGACATTTTCCACTTGGAATAAACTCACATGATTCCCGGAAGCTTCACTTCCTACTGGAAGCACTCAGTCTGGGATAGAGATCATGATTTCTAGATGTCCCTTTAGCACAGATGCAAAGCCACTGACTGTACCATATTCCAGAGACACTAAAAATTCTACTTCAGAACACACAAATCAAATGAAAATCTTGGAAGTTGGTCAGTGAAGTGGGGCCTGCCAGCCTCGACTGTGAATGCAGTGGAAGCATGAGAGGATGTTTCACAAAATACTGCAGCCTGATATCTACTCCTAGAAGTTCTTATTAAATTGCTGTGGGGCTGGGATGGTTATTCTAATGTGAAATCAAAGTAGAGAGCCACTGTTTTGAAATATACAGTGACTCAAGCTCCACCCTAGTTAGTGAATTGAAAAACAAGATCTAGCACTTATGTCTTTTAAGATAATTCTTATTGGGAGACAGGTAAGAATTTTTTTCTCTCAGAGTTATAATTCCAGGATAATTCCCTTTCCAGAAGGAAAGAGTTAGAGAAAGGAAAAATTTCTTAATCTTAGGATTTGCAAGAAGTTTTAGAGGATCTATAGACAGGATCTCATATTCCTCTTCAGAATCCTAGTGAACTTTTAAAAAGTCATAAATGCTTCAAACATAAAGACAACCTTCACATCCCTGGATCCATCTACTTAGGAAATTGGATCCCCTATAAGCGTTGTGGATGAGAATTGGTCTCCTCATCCATTTTATTTTAAGCACCTTTTCCTATTTACTTTTCCTATTTAGCAAGGGAGCTGAACCAGGGACATATGCCGTAGAGACCTTGTGCCTCAATAGTGATCTTTTAGCTGAAGGGAGATCAACTAGCATAGCCACTTGGATATTCCCTGGAGCAACGCATCGTTCCTTATCCTTAACGTGTGTGTGCAATCTGCCTTGTGAGTCACATATGTTCTGGCAAACAACTGCCCATAGCCTAAGGTCATCCAAATAGTTTCCTGTGATCCGCTTACACTACCCATCTTTCCTCTCATTCACCTGGGGGCAGGACTTGACTGAGGGCTGGCACGTACCAAGAGGGAATACAGAAGTCCAAACTGATAGGTGCATGAGGGATTATTGTTTTCAGAAGTGGATAAATTTGAAAGGATGCACATATCAAATGAAGGGCACAAAGATTCAGAGTCCCAACTAGAATAAAAGCAGAAATGCTGTGGTTCCAGCTGGACTTACCTCTGCCATCAGCGAGGCACCTGTTATAACCCACAGGGCTGAAGTATTCGAAGACAAAGACAGCCACGGCTGAGACGATGAGCAGCATCACAAACATCATGACCCATACGTCAGCACTGAATGGCTCTGGGGAGGAGGAAAAACCCAGCCAGGGTCAGAGCAGAGAACAAACACGTGCTCATTGTCTCACATATTTGTTTGCTCATGCAAACACAAATTTTGGGGAAAACAAAGAACAAGGCTGTTGCATGCTTGCAGTGAGCCAGGACTAGGCTAAAGAGAAATAAGATATGCCTGAGAAAACCCATTTCCCAGATGTGCACACTGAGGTTGTTTTCCTTTCAAACACATGAGGAAGTTAAGTTCATATTTGTGAATCTGGGGTTTGTACAGACAGTTTCTGAAACTTTTGGGCCTACATCTCAGTCTTTCAGTAAAAAGTACATTGGAAGAAGTACTAGATAAGGTGCAAGTGAATTACCCTAGGCTGATTTGGTTTATGTTCTCATTTCTATGGGCACACTACAAAAGGCAGACCCCCCAAAGCTTCATCATTGCTACTGAATCTTGCACTAAAATTAATTCTTAATAAACCAGAGGTGAATTAGTTGCATAATAATTATGAATAACCACTCCCTCCCGTTTTTCTTACATTTTCCACCCTAGATTTTCCTTTGCAAGCCACTTTGACTTGGCATATTTCAGTGCATATTGTTAGGATATGAGAATCTAAGTCAAAGTTAAAAATCTGTTTACGTGGAAAATCAATACCTCCTGCAGTAGGAATTTAACAAGTTTCAAGGGAACGTGCATAAGTTGAGAGTCACAAAACCATTATAAGCTGTCCCCTATTACCTCCTCTATTACCAGATGATAGGGTTGGTGGGACAAGACCAGGCAAGATAGCACGAATATGCATAGCATTTGTTTAATATCTTTAATCATTTTTGCTGATTCCCTTCCAGCTGAATAACTCTGGCTTGGAGGTGCCCAGATACTGAATACTATATTCTAGAAGCCATCTCTCTGAAGGTCTGTACACAAAGAGACAATCGCTATTCTGTCCCATGATGCAGTGCTCCCTCCATTGTGTCTCAAAATAGTCCTGGCCTTTTTAGCTATCACATTGTAAACTCATAACTAAGTGAATTAACATGCTGTTTTCCCCATCTTCCAAATCATTAATAAAGATGAAGCTGAAAAAGGAGAAAAATTGGCTGAAAATTAGAAAATATATTTCTTACACTGAGACCTACTTTACTATTGAATTTCCAGAGGAATTATAAAAGATTGGTCACTTAATCAATTTAAAAAGAACCTTAATAGAGCTCCAGAGCTTAACACACCAACTGTGAAATACAAAACCTTTTAATGACAACCAGCGACTCAAGCATAGGTGGTACAATTCAAAGCCTCTCAATGGTGGTACAGGGAAACCACCTCCATCTTTGACTCTAAGTGATTGAAGTCCGGCCTCAATGTCACTTTTTTCTAAGACTGGGGAATAACTCAGTAAATGCATCACTTTTAGGTCGGTCTCTTCTCTCATTAAGTTCAGAGCATCACAAAAAATATAATAAATATCTGTACTGGTCTTTTAATTTACAAAGCTTTCTTTCACTACACACTGTTAAGTATAATCCTTTTAATATGCCTTTCATTATGGATTATCACACCTACTTCAGAGGAGTAAACTAAGCTTGAGGGATTAAATCCTTCTCAGTTCATACTGAGGAAGCGGCAGAGTGAGGCGATGGACTGGGGCTGCTCTTCCCATTATGCTGCACTGATAGCTCTGCCCACCTCATTCAGATTCCTGCACTAGGGATGGAATTCTGAGGTGCCAAACGTGCTCCAGAGCACAGGCTCTGAAGGCTACCATCACTGGACTTTATCTTAGATCTGTTTTTCCGAAATTACAAGATGAATATAAAAATAGCATCAGTGAGTTAACAATAATGAAAACATACATAATAAAGACCTGCGTATCACATATTAGGTGTTCAAGAAACACTGACTTCTCTTGGCCTTGTAACTAATGACTGCTCTAAAATCCTCTGCCTAGCATTTCTGTCATTCCAGAGCTCACTGGCTCTTCCATTTCAGAAGTTAGAGTTAGTAATAAACTGACAAGAGTTACAATGTCCCAATCATCCTTATAAAGTTCAAATAAGCTGTACCCAGCACCTATGAGGGCTAATGCGTGCTATCTAGTAACATTTCACAAAAGGTTGACAGGGACAGAATTTGCTTCACTATGAATAAAAAGATTAGTTAGGAAATGTGTACAATTGTGATTTATGGAAAAATTCTATGGAAACTGTAATTCCACTTAGTGGTGTATCAACTGAATTAATTCCTTATGAGAAGAGTTTAAAGAAATATTGATCACTGTGTATTCCAGTGTCTTCATGTATTTGAAGACTCTGACATCCCTTAGAGTGATCGTGACTTGTCCAAGGGCTTACAGCTTGTTTATGACCAAACCAGTCTTCCTGTCTCCTGGCCAAATGTTCTGTTTTCAAGGTGACATTTTATTTTCCATCCCTTGCTCCACAGCCCCTACAAAAAATATGGGGTATGAGCTCACAGAAGACCTCATCTAATTGAAATCTTGGCCTTCTCCCACCCAGTCTTATATCATATCTAAGGCTTTTGACACTTAAATGATGCTGGAGGACAGGAAAATGGAGGCTGGCACAGGGAAAGACGGGGTGGGGCGGGAGGAAGCCTCAGATCAGCTCCGGCTGATAAAGCCTCAAAAATACATGCAAAAACAGGAAACCTATTTTTGTAGTGCTAAGATTCATTTTTGAAGATAATTAGAAACAAATAGGTATGTCAATGATATCCAGAATTAGAAATTATTAGAGGAGTCTGCAACCTCAGCATCAGCCAGTTGAAATGGAAACTGAGCCCCAAGATTCAGTAAATTTGCTTCAGGTCAGATAATGCTTAAGTGACAAGAAGGGGACTACCAGAGGCCTCTGCTGACCAGTCCAGCAGGGTTTTCTTAAAGGGCATTACGCTTTCTTGTTTTCCTGAGTGTTCCTGAGACTTCCTGCTTGAGAATAATCCATTCTACGGTTCCCAAATAAAGTCCCCGGTACTTGGCAAGCTTCATCAGGGCAGGCCTCCTTGTGTTTCTGCAATAGCCCCATATCCATCTGCTTCTCTGTCCATCCATTTCTTCCCTCTAGCACATGCATCATTTACCTAAGAAGGCAGAAGGTGAGACAGTCCCATTGCTGCGTGATACCATGACACTGATGCCAGTCTCTATGAAGGGTACAGAGAAGTCCACCACCTCTGAGCGCTCCTCATTGATAGTGAGAGATCCCACCGCCATGTAGGCCCTCTTCATGACCACCTGGAGAGGAAGGGGCAACACTCCAATTAGAACCCAGGAGAGCAGGACCCATCATGGGGAAAATACACATGGCCCTACAGTAACTTCCTTTGTAGAATGAGAACAGTACCTTCTCTTCACTATGTTATGCTTTCTGCAATATATGGAATGTACATTTTAAGAAATATTTAAGTGAAACAAAATAAAAGAAAAATGGAAATGGCCCTGACTTTCTGACACTCACCTCTCCAATCATACCATTCCACGTTCCATTGATCTTCTTCCCATGCTTGCCATTGGTCACCAGGTAAAGGTCATAGGTGAACTTCACAGATTTAGAAATTTTCTTAAGGATGTCTATACAGAACCCCTTGCAGCATTTTTTAATGTAGCCTGGTTCCTCATCTGTTTTATTCCTAGGCACATAAAAGGAGGTAAAAAAAGCAAATTAATAACAATTAATTAAAAAGCCAAGTAATACTTTGTACAAGAAACAAAATATTTCTCTTGGTCATCAAAATTCCAACCCCAAAGCAGCCCCCACCTTCATACCAAACCAAAAAAAATCAGACCTCATATCTGCAGTATTCTTATTATACTGAGCCACATTTTCTAGCAAATTTTAATAATCTGTTGAAGAATAGTAAACATTGGGAAAGGGTGCATATCCTGAATGTTCAGGTCACTTAATTTTCACACTATAACTTTTTAACTGGCATCTAAACCCTTGTATAGAAAAGTTTCTAGTACCAAATGGGCCTCCCATTCTTCCTTCTGGATATTTCCTTCTCTTCCTAAAGAGAATGATTACCTGACTCCTGACAGCATAGGTAAGTCTGATCTATTTCTAAATGTGGTTCTAAATCTCAAAATTTGGGGACATATCAATCCAAAGAAACATATTTCAGCACCAAAAATGAACTTAAACCCTAACCTAACCTGAGATTGCAGTCACTGCAGCCAGGTAAGACCAAAGGAGCATTAGCCAGATGGGGAGTCAGCATTTTCCTAGCATGTGATTTGGACAGAACCAGACATCACACCACAAAGTTGCAAGTGGTTTTACAGCGCAAGTGCGGGTGAAAAGTGTATCATGCTCAGTTCACTCCATGCTCCAGGTCCCAGGCTAGCCAGGTGACAACAGCTGCATCAAATGCCACTCTCCTGTGACACCTGGGTCCTGTGAGGAAGGTGCTACACGTACTCAGAGATGATGCGTTTTTGGCAGGGGACTGTGTTCCTCATGCAGGTTCCGCTAAGTGGGTCCACACTTTCCACAATGACAAATGGTGCTTCTTCCAGGGTCACGATGCTCAGGTGGTCGTCCTCCTGCTCCTCTGTCTCAGGACACATTCGGGGCCACACATAGTATTTCATCTGCAGGGATTTGTCTTTCCACTTTCCCACCTGCACAGGAATGCAGAAAATACTCAGAAATCACTGGCCAAGACATAAGAGCCTTTCTCAGCATTATCTGAATCCTTCCATGAACCTGTTAAACAAAGGCAAACAGATGCAAGCTTTGTACCTAATGGAGAGGAGATTTTTAAAACCATATGCTCAGTAGGAGACTACTGCTTCCAGATCCAAGGAAGCAATACATTCAATCACTCACCCACTTACCAGGCATTAACTGTGGACCTATTATGTGGCGGGCACCCTGCCGAACTGTGTAGCTCAAAGAAGCATCACTGTGCCCTTCATTAGGTTGGGTGAAGAAGTCAAAAATGTAAACAACTATCTATAGCACTACATGCTAATTCCTAAAACTGAACCACGTGCTGGGAGAATGCTTGTTTCCTATGTTTTGTGTGGCTATCAGATTGGTTTTGGTCTGTTTGTTTTGTTTTGTTTTTCTTAACCATAACAAGGAACATGATAGTGAGAACAGAAAATAGTGTTGGGAAGGTCAGCAGGGTGACTGCAGCAAATGAGCTCACTGGACATGTTCTGGCTAACAGAGGTCCAGAGGGGAACTGCACAGAGAGCCAGGTAGGTGTCACTTGGAACATAATGGTAAGCTGGAATGAAAGAATGTAGAACTGGCTTGTCTGGGGAAGGGAGGGTTACACTGCTAAGAACTATGTGAATCAGGGAAGATATGCACCTCCAGTGAATCAGACAGGTCTCTTCCAGAACTGTCACATGCGTCCCCATATCACACACACAACAGCCCTGCTGCCAATCACTAGATAAGTATATGGCATCAAATGTCTTTTAGAAGAACCATTCATTCTTATTTTTGTGATAGAATCTACAAAACTTTGAAAGCTCTCATTCTCTGCTATGGAACTTAATGAAGAAAGAGAAATCATTTTAACTTTTTATAACTGAGGATCTTTGGTTATCACAGAATGTCATTCTCCATGTGGTAAGGCAAAAAAGAACAGGTGAGGACTACAAAATGACTTTGTTTAACTAGAGAAATCAATAGGAAGCAACAAATTGTCAGTACTTCACAAACCTTTACGTGATTAGGCATTTCTGTATTAATGCAAAATTCAAACTCTTTTTGTTGTTGTTGTTTCTCGTTGCCTGCATGTAGGTTTCCAGCGGGTGTCTCCTTACATGGGGATCATTTCTCCCTCTACCTTACCCCACAGTGCTTATGATGTCCATATCCAAATTAATCCTGTAATTCACAGCCTTTGTTTCATTGCATCACTAGCACATGGATAGTGATTTAGTGTCCTGGCTATTTTGTTTGGCACCTGCACAGTCTCTCCCTGGTACTATGTTTCTGATTAGTTTTGTTCTGAGTGTGATATTTGCAAAATAAATAATATTTTGCCTCTTTGTTCAGAATAATGCATCAAACCAAATACTTGTGCTGTGTTCCATACATAGATATTCCTCAGCCGAAGATGAACTAAAATCTCAATAAATCCATTAGAAGTTGAATATCATAAGTTGAAAATGCATCTAATAAACTGAGACCTACAGAATACTATCACTTATTACCTCGGTGGGCTATAGAGTGGCAGCTGTTCACTCTCCTGATCTTGTGTCTGGGATCTGTGGCTCACCGCCACTGCCTAGCATCATGAGAATCACACCGCAAATCACCAGCCCAGGAAAAGTTCCAAAATGGCTGCTACTGAATGTGCATTGCATCTGCACAATCATAGACATGAAAAATCATGAGTCAAGTAAATCAGTGACTATTTGTAACAGATGTCTCTTCGCTGGTAATTTTAATTCTGTTCCAAGTCTTGTTTTTCCTCATATTGATAATACTATTTATTTCTAAAAGAGGAATTATTAAATGACTTCCAAGACATGCAGAGTTAGAAATGGCCTCTGCCCCAAGCAGCCATATTTACTCCTATGGCCAAATCATTATTAATGTGCAATAGTGTAGAAAGGGTTGCAAAGCCCTAACAAACTTTTTTGTTTGTTTTTCAGTCCTATCAGGTTCCCTCAATAATACCTTTTGATTATTTCCCTTTAAATCCTAGGGTATTATCTCCTGCCTTCATTACTAGCAGTGTTTCCCAGAGTAGTTCAGCAGCCCATTGTGGAATTATTTCAGAAAGCTTCCAACCTCACACAAGGTTTTCTCCAGAGCTTGTCATGGACGTCACCATCAGGTGATTTTCTTAAAATAAAACTTGGTCACAAAATCTCTACTCAAAAAATCTCAGTAACCTCTCACTGCCCTCAGAGTTGTACCTAAATATCTCATTGAGATTATTAAGATCTGTGCACTAACCCTTGCCAACCCTGATATGGTTAAATTCACTATTTTCAATGATGAATCCCTAGTTCAACTCAGAAAAGGAAGCTGTGGGTATAGAAATTAACATAAAGTAATCAGGAACAGATTGCAGCAAACTAGCTGCAGTGTCTTTTCTGACAGACTTACTCTGTCTGGAGGGAAAAGATGTTGCAGACATAACATTTTGCCTAAGTTTCTCCTGACATTCTTGTGAACAAGATGAACTATAACATGGATTATTGCTTATTTTGATAGACTGGAAAAGAATTAAATCTATATCTAAAAAAAGAAAAATTGTTTAATGAATCAATGCCAACTGGGAAGATGTGTTTAGTGACATATCAAGGGACCCTGCTCTTAGAAGTGGCCTATATAGTGTTCCAGAAAATGAAATAAAAGTCATGTTCTCAAACTCAGAGACAACACAAAACTAGGCAGGATTGAAGACATAATGCACTGCAGAGTTGAGTGTGGAAGAAACAAATTAATTCAAATAACAGACTGAACCAAATGGAATGAAATTCAACAGTATTTATGCTTAAAGCCTAGCATTCAGATTGTTCAAAAAGCAACTGCACAGCCCTGGAAGGAAGGTATTTCAATCAACAGCAGACTATAAAAGCTATTGCAGCAACAAATGTTGTATTTATAGACTTACAGCGTCTAGCACATGGGGTGAAGGGAGGGCATGATGATCCCACCCTGCTCTGTGTTCATCATTCCACAGCAGGAAAACTAAGTTCTGATCCTATAATTCCACAATCTACTGATTTTTAAAAAATATGCCACTCTCATTTCCTCAACAATAATCTGTTCATGCAGTTTTGCTGTAGCACATTCTTTCCCAATTTCCTACCATGCCTGATGAATCATAGTTTTGCTCCATGTCATTTCAGTTCAATCAACAATACTTGCACACCAACATTGTGCCAGGCAGTGGGTTAGGTGCTGGAGATCACAATATGAGGTGACATTTATTAAGTGAGCATTAATCAAACTTGTTTAGTAATCTTATTAGTCATCACAGCAAACCCGTCAGATAGACTCTCAATGTTTCATTTTATAGAGGGGTTGATAACTTTCCCAAGATCCCAAGGTAAGTATTGAGTGTCTTGTCAGGATCTGAAGCTTGAAAGTCTGACTCTACAGCGTGTGTTCCTACCCACTAGGCTGCACTGCTGAGTTGATAATTAAGGAGCAAGGCATGGTTGCATCCTCCAAGGACATTCTTGAGGGGAAGGATTTCATCTATTGTCAATAACATCTTTGCTAATTACTGGCACATGAAGTATAATTACATATTCTGGCATTCAGAGTAAAAGTGATCACTTCCAAAAGATCAAGAGAAGAGTCTCGCAGAGACCTTTATCTTTAATCTGGGCTTGAAGCACAAAGGATCACTCTTTAGGTGGAGAGTTCCTCATTTGCTAAATTAGTTCCGTTTCCTCCTCCTTAAGAACTGTTCCCTGTAGCAAGATGATCTTTATCAATGTTGAATGCCAACTAGATTGTGCTCATTTCTCCCCAAGTCTTTGTTCAACGGACCTGGTGTGGGCATCATAGAATCTGGCAAACACTACAGATCAGGCCTTCCTCTGTCCCTGCCCCTTCAGTAAGCTATTAAATATTTACTAGCTCACACTGCCAACAATAATCAAATCATTCATTATTTTGTGCTATTTATTACTTTAACAATGTTTTAAAACTTTCTAAGTGACTTTTTAAACTAAATTCCAAACATATCACTAAATATTTCCGAGGCCTCAGGTAAATTTTTAAAACTCTCTGAGCTACAGTTTGTACATTTGTAAGACAAGGTGAGTGCATTTCTAAGATGCCTTGTATGAAATTCATAATTCCATTTTTGCTTCAGATCAAGGGCTCTCTACGGCACTTCTACAGAGTAGAGCACATGGAAGAGGTGTTCTTAGTAGACATTCTCTGAAGGAAGGGCAGTATCTGATTTGTTCATACAAAGGTTTATTTTTACTAAGCCTGTTTTCTCAAGGATGATTGCACTCAGATGGAAAATTAACAAATTCATGGAAGACTGAAAGGAAGAATTTTTTTTTGAAAAATAACTACTGTGAGTATCAGATTCATAGTGCCAAAAAAATAGAACTCATGTTAGAGCACATGTTTAGTATCTCAAATTCCTGTGTTTTTTGCTTTTTGTTTTCTTTTGCTGTCCTGGGTGTTGAACCCTAAGCTTCACTCATTTTCGACAAGTACTCCAACACCAAGCTACATTCTTGGCCCTACATCAAATTCTTTCTCTATGAAGCCAATTGTTGACTAATTAAAATTAAGTCAAAAGGTACATATTAATGTAGAATAACAAGGTTTCAAGTAAGTCTTCCTTCAAAGGGAAGGAAGTATTTCAAGTGGAAAAGTTCAAAGCAACCATAAAGAAAACAGAGAGAGGGAAGCTTGAAACTGAGAGCAAAAGTCTTGAAGGCTTGTCTAGGATTCCAAAATGGTGGGCATTTGTAATCCCAGAAATAGAGAATAGTAGAACGTGAAGTTAACAGGAGGTCTTTCAGAGAAAATCCAGTGAGGAAAAGCTGAACGAAGCATTTATAGGTAAGATTAAAGTGTGATCAGGAAAAATGAAACCTTAAAAAATAATGAAGAAAAAGTCTGTGAAACACTGAACACCTTGGAGATAAATACTAAACAAATGGCATCA